CTTGAGATGATAATTGGTTGTCTTCTCAAATATGGGCTTTGCCACCCATTCTTTCGTATTTTTCGGAAACACTACCTGGTATTGCAGCTCCCCTTGGTTGGCACCCCTGGATACAGTGGCTTGTTGTCTACCAGTGTTGGCATTATGGTCTATGGCTGCCAACTGAGTTCGAGCAACCATGCCATTACAAGAGAAGTGCTGCCGTTTGGGTGCATATTTGGTCTGCACACTATGGTACATCTCTAAATTCCCAGTATGACAACTTAGTGTTAGTTGCTGAATGTCCTGCAACAGATTTTTATCGAATACAACCTCCTTCAATGCATTATGAGCAGAGGAGCCAGGCCTAAGCCACCTTTTAGTTCTTGCGATAGCTGGAGGGATTGGTTGGCGGGCACATTCCTCATACAGGTCAGCTGAATCCCAGGAGTGGATATTGGCAGTGTGATAGACAATGGATATCCACTTCTCTCTCAACATCTCCTTGTCTCCCCCACATGTTTTGGCACACCACCAAGATGGATCTGATCCAGAGAGAGAGATCAGCACATTCTTTCTTCTTTGCTTTTTCAGTTAACTTTTTAGTTATACTCTTGGAAAGGTGCCACACATCAAATTGATGATCAACTTCAGGGAAATTTCTTTTCATGTCAGCCCTAATGCCCACATGACGGTCAGTTGCAACGACCATAATTTCCCCCCCTTTTTCATAGATGTTTTCCATACTGCGTTTAAAACCCTCTCTTTCCATGGCATTGCTATTATTTACTTCACTGACCTGAACAACCTTTAAGTCAACAATCTTATCAGTTTTCTGATCAATCATGGTATATGTCCCATATTTTGCATTATGGCCAGGACTGTCACAACGCCCATCCCCTGAAAGCCACAGATCTGGCCCCCCTAGCTCAGAAAAAGTGGAATTTTGTTCTTTAAGCCAGAACTCATTGATTACAAGTAATAAGTACTTGTTTTGAATATTATAAAATGTTTTCGCACTGAAAATTTTCAAGTTTAAGATATCTGCCAAAGATGCTTCTTTTGTAAAGGTAGAGCCACTGAGCTAAATAGATGATGACAGCAACAAATTTCCAGCTGCCATCCCCTCAAGCATTGGCTGGCTTTGCCAGGAGTACTTATGATTATTCATACATTCTAGGGTGACAAATAATTGGCTTCCTTGTGTGGATTGGTTCCTCTTAATCACAGCTGCACCACACTCAGGACAGTACTGAAACAATTTAAATAGCTCTTGTTTAAATACAATGTATTTGGTATCATCCTGTGGCTTTTCGCATTTTGTTTCTCCTTGGTGTTCGTTGTCTGATCCTGACAAGTTTTAATCATCTGAATCTTCCTGTTTTGTGGGAAGGCAGATGTCATCTTTTCTTGGAGAGACTTCTGGGGAAGCAGCAGCTTCAGTTGCTTCTTCCTTGTTATCTTCAATTTCAGGAAGGAATACCTCTTCAGTCTGGGTGCTGCTTTCTGGAACATCAACCTCGACTTGGGTGTCAGTAGATTTCATCATTAAATGGAGACCACGATTGACTTGGATCCCAAAATCCACACCCTTGTTTGGAAAATTCACCTGCACTGCTTGTGACTCAACCAACGTGCTTTTAGGCCCTAAATAATGTGGGAATGGATATGATGGGCTGTCTGAGGTTGATGTACTTGCTCCACAATTCACTACATCAACAGGTGTAGGCTGTTCTAAAGCTGAAGCTGCATGTTCTTCGATTCTACAACTAGATTGTGCAGTTACAGAGGCTATATACTATAACAGAAAAAATATTAACTCTGTTATGGTATGGGTTAGTGACCCTTTGAGAGAATGAAAAATGTAGGTATGGGGGATAAACTATGCTACTATATGGTTACACAATGATTCAATGGGATTTTCTTGGAAAATATAACACCTGACCCTGCCCTCCTTTGGTTGAAAGCCTGCACTGGTTTCAACTTAGAATTTCCAGTTGTATTAAATTTTTATTCACATAGAAGGAAAGAAGGTTAAAAGAATTCATTATTTAAAGAATAATATCCACAACTTATATCTATAGTCTAATTGTACTAATTTTTTTCACCTGCTAGTTAACAAGGGACGGGTATAATGTTCCTAGAATTAGAGAATAATCACTTTATTCTGAAACAATTTAATTTTGTTTACCTACTGGTCAAAAATGTTCAGGAGAGACGAAGTACAAAGATGACTCAGAGTTAAAAAAACATCAAACTAGAAGGAATTCCATGGCAGGATATTGTTTTGCTTAAGGAGAAGAAATACTTTTCTGTGAAAATTTAATGTTTCTCAATGGAACCTATTCGGGTGATATCCCTTAAGATATAAATTGTTATTGCCCCCAAAACTGCATTCACCTTTCAATTTTTTTTTTATCAATCATGCATAAATGACGAGCAGCTTCAAGAGTTTGCAACAACCCAAGCTTTGCAACAACCCAACCCAGTTACAATAGAGTAATTCGCGATTCACTTACTTCTTTCCTGACTTTCTCTTCTGAACGTTTCTCCGATGAAAGTCGAGGTCTTTTTGATGGTCTCCGATGCGAAAAAACCGTGGGTATTGCACCTGGTTTTAGCGTAGATCTGGGTTTCAAACCAAGAATTTCTGCTTTCAAGTCTCGTTCGTAGCAGTCAGGTGTAAAATGTTCTGAGCACAGCCTGGAGTTTTTCGAAACGACCAGATCCGCTCGTGAGATCTTTGCCAGCCACTGTGATCGTAGAGCTTCATCCCTCGGAAAGCAATGGTAGGATATACCAGTTGTGTACCTCGAGTCGTTGTTACAATCGAACGCCGCGCAGAATACCATTTTTAAGCTCGAAAGTAATCGAAGTAAATATTGCAACGGGGGCTACTCAACCGCCAAGAACAGATAGAAGAATAAACTCAAACAACTCGGGCT